CCAGGCATTTCAGAACGACACATCAAGGAGGGTAGGCAGGTTCAAGTCAACCATTAAATGGCCACTTTTTAACCCCGTCCTGTCCTCATTAGGGAAATGCTCAAACACAGCCCATTTTCAAAGAGGGCTTTTAATGAGGGGAGCTTGCCAAGTCTACCAGCTGCAATTCCCATAAATTTACAAACCAAAAGAAGCAGGGGGATGGGCGGAGGAAGGAGAGAACCCATACAAGACAGGTAATGTCCAAGAGTAAGGGCCCAACGCGTTAACCCTTGCCGGATCCACGCCGCATCCCTGCCGCTCGGCTTCTGGCTGCACTTGCCCACTTTCCTCAGGAATGCGCTGTTCAAGCAACAGCCGCGGTTTTTCCCTTCTAGAGACCACATCGATATGTGGCAAGTTCAAAGCATATGCTTAGGCAGGAAGGGATGAGGCAAACTCGGAGTTAACCACAGTGAGCAAAATTTATTTTCATATCTGGTGTAGAATACTCCCCAAATCCTATCACCTTTCCCTTTACCCAGACACTGCAAAGCTGATAGTGCCAGCTTTAAATACTGGAGTTTCCCTTTGAATAAATATTCAATTTAACTGGAGTTAATTTACCATAAAAGACATTCCCCTTGGCACAAATGCACTGATGTCCTTGAACACACCTCTTTGAGTGCTTGAACTCTTACACAACAAGCCATTATTGCAGATCTGATTTAAAACCAGAATAACCCCCCTCCACTCCCCTTTACCCTTGCACCCGTCCTCGAGGACCAGAGCAAGCCCCCAGCACCACATCAGCAAGAGGCTGCCCCTGTGAGTTGCACAGCTGCAAGAAAAGGCCCCTCTCCCTCCCAGTCCTGGCCAAGGGACAGCTTTGTGCTAGCGACCTGTGTGCTAAAAGCAAAAACCTTCTGGCAAGGTCTCTGGAGTGAGGATTGGCAAGCAGGAAAAAGCAAATGGAGCAAGGTAAGGGCAGACACCAAGCTGGTTGCTCTGTGCAGCCCTTGCTACTGCAAGGGGGTGTGGATTCTGGTGAGACTGGGTTTGGATCCTCATAGGAGCAGACTTAGGGTAGGTTTGCTTCACTACCCAGAGCAGTCAAGAGGGGCTAAGCCTAGCCAGACCTGCAGCACATGCCAGTACACTCCCAGAATAATGCTGCTGGGAAGAACAACAAAGCCAGACCCTCTTCAGAGCCAGTCTGCTTGTTAGGATTGAGCCCCTCACGGGGAAATGGAGCTCGCTGGCCAGGATGGCTCCAGCAGAATCTTCTCTTCTGCATAACCTAAGAGGCAAGGTGGACCTGGTGCAGGTTGACATGGGTCTGCTTCCAGTTTGACCCACAGGCTTCTGGAACATCAGTGAAAGCATGCACATGCCTACAAACACACCCTCTCACTCTTCCTCTCCTCCCCCATCTCCCTGCCTCTGGCTTCTTTCTCAGGGAAGCAAGCTAAAGATTCTTTCCAGAACGGAAAAAGAACTCCATTAAAATAATAAAATAGAGCAACTCTCTACCTCTTCCTTGCAGAGGTGGGTAAGTATGTATGTAGGAACTGGGTTTGCCCAGAGAAACATGGTATTAACGCAGCAACGACAGCAGCTGCACTGGCTGGGCCCTGGCATGCAGGGAGACCATGTGGGAAAGTAGTTCAATTGCTTTCAAGTCCTAGCTTGCATTAACTCCCTATCCCAATACAAATCCTTCCCTCCCACCCTACATACTAAAAACCCTGCTACTGCTCTAAGTTTTGTACCATCAAAGCTCTGGGAGACAGTTTGTTTTTTGTCCTCACTGCCAGAATTCTGCCAAGCTCCAGCCATATCTGCAAGTTCAGGTATCAATTTCGATGCAAGCAATTAGGAAAACAAAACTCACCATCAGACCCTGCTGGTGAGAGAGACACCGGGAGCCGTTCTTGCCTCCCTAGGATCTCAATGGCCTGAGGGATCTTCCCCTCAGATGGGATGCCATATGAACACTGATAACGTATGCCTGGACACACGCACAGCTGGGCACATGCACTCAGGGGCTAGAAAACTTCATGGAACAAAAATGCAAGTTCAGGAAGAAAAAGCACCTTTTGTACCAAGTAAGCAGCAAATACTGAAGCTGTTGTCTGGACCAGCCTTCCTGAGAACAGACACCCTCCAGACTGCGACTGCCCCCGCAACCCCTATGCCTTTGATCCCCCTCTGATGATGGTGGCCAGGATGGAGGGACATTCGAGGCCCACACTTCAGGCTCTGACACAGCTCATATCAGGAAAGAACCAGAAAGGCTCTTTCACACCATGGGCAGATGGACTCTCTCCCCATCACCCGTCCTGGCTCCCCAGAGCAGTGTTCTGCTAGTGGTGCAGATCCCAGTATGGCAGACTTGCACTGAAAGCCTGGTTCTTCCCCCTCCACCCCTCCCTCACAATGCTCACAAACTTTACCAGATGCTGTGAAGAGGCAGTGGCCTTGGACTTTAGAGATAATAACAGTAAAAAGTGGAAAGGCCAGTTAGACTGCCTAAAAGCTCCCTCCCTAAAGCTCAGCTTCAGGTGGTGCCATTCGGCCAGACAACTGTTCAACTGTTTCAAGTTTCAAAGCACAAGACTATTATTGTGCATCAAAAATCAAAGAGAAAGGTATTGCTAATGCTGATGTGTGTGGCCTAAGATTCTCCAGGGATACAGCAGGCAGTTTAGTCATCTATCTGAACATACGCATACTGAGCTAAGAAATCAAAGCTTCATGAAAATTCCACTAGTTTCTTGGTGAAAATCAGAAACAATTTATTCTGGCATCTGGCGTTTTAGCTGAAAGATTCAATATCTGACAACCAGCTCCAAAACTTTTACTTAAGAGGTCTCTGATCCAAACTACAATCTTTACATCTAGCGTTACCTCTAGATGTTTTCTTACATCTACTTTACTGGCAATACTGTTAGCTTCTTTTTCACTCCTTAGTAGAAAATGCTGTTCAGACACGTCTGTTCAATATAATATAACTTCAGTGCATACATAATACCAACTAAATGTAGCAAATTACCTCAAGGCATTATCATTGTGTTATATCTATTGGCTATTCTATCTCTATGACTAGTCTCTGTGCCTTGCAAGGCCTCTTGTACCACCATATTAAACTACAAAGTAAAATCTAACATCTTTGGCATAATCAGAGCCTTGGTTAATTTTCTTATGTAACAGAATATATAAATACATAGAGATATATGTATACGCACAGGAAGTTGGCTAGAAAAATTCCAGGGAACAAACATAACTAGTTAAACAAGCAATGTAATAACATATTTGTTTATGGGGTCTCAATACATTTAATACACACCTGAATTGTAGGATATTTATTACTTAGAATGCAAACAACAAGTAAAACTTTTAAGTCAGAGTAGCATCACAGCTATAAATATATGCATTATAATACTAACTAGTACATGTTTTTGTTCATTTCAGGGTGATCAGAAGAAACACACACTGTATGTAAACAGTGTATATGTATGATCAGGTAGAAAGTGTGCATATATCCAATCAGAAGTAAAGAAACACACTATTGACTCTATACGGAGACATATTTACATGTGAAGGGTGTGTACGTTTGACCTCTGTCCACACACGGTTCGATGGGGACTGTAATACTTGAGCTTTCCACAGCTCCCAGACCAGCAAATGAAAACATCAAACCTGATGTGTAGAGCTGTAAACCACAACATTTTGGGTTACACAACTATGCAGTTTTTG